GATCTTGGTTTACAGTGGGATTTCTTTCCTGCAACACGACTGTCTTTTGGGGTGGCTAAGTTTCTGGTGTGGGGCACACTCCTGTGTACTTAACTAGTCAGCAGTTCCTTGGCCTCCATTCCCAAGAGGACAGTGACATCCCTTTCTTCAGTTTGGGCAGAAAAAAGTGTTTCCAGATGTTGCCAAATGTTCTTTAAAGGAAAACACTGATACACATCTGTAGAGACACAAACTTTCCAGTCACCCAAGAATTTAAGCTCCTACACTCATTCACTGGATTCAAACCCAAGGAAACTGTACCTCAGAATCTGGCTTCTTTACTGCTTCTACAGGTAGGTTCATGGGAGTCCACTGATGTGGTCTGTTGATGCTAAGCAGTTAAAGCAATGACAAACATACTGTGCTGCATATGTGCTGTGAAGGTGTATATTATGTAAGGGCTCTTCTGACTAGGGCTACATTTAGTGCTTTACAAACTTCATTCTATTTAAGCCGTGTTGTCAAAGAGTTTTTAGAAGGATGAGAAGTTGTCTACCATATTTTGTAATCATAATAACAATGCTTTCAAGTTACTTATAATTGTATGTTAGATATCTCAGCATCAAGTTACCAGAGGCATATGTTTAATGCTTAATAAGGTGAAGAACTTTCGCGACTCCATTTTCTGTATTTATATTTTATATTCAAGAAATATAAAGACAAGCAATAGCTGAGTGACAACTGGGGGATCTTTTGCAAGCTAAAGGAGACTCAGTGTTTGTTTTCAAAATTGCTGAGAGCATAGTAATGGCAATCTAAAAACCATTCATCATGACAGGTATCAGTAAATTTTCCAATTTACCAAAAGGCATCACTAAACAGGGCTCCCTAGGGAGTGTGGCAAAAATTTCTCCTTTATATATACATATTTATCTTTGAAAGTATGTTCCATAGATACCAATCCTCTCATTTCTTAGGGATTCCAAACATGGTCCCATAAGACCAGCTGCCAGTCTTGGTAGCCACAAATAATTAACCCCACCATGAAGTATTTGAAATATGTAAAGGTTAAAAGATCATAAAAATGAGACCATATGTTCAAACACACCACATGTGCTTTGGCAAGGGAAATGTATGGGTTAAGACAAATCTGAACCAGTCTTCCAGGGAACAAGATCAAAACCAGTATGAAAAGGATTCTTTTCATATAAGTTATGTATTTCCCTAACTCTTATCCCAGCATCGCTTCAGATAAAAGAAGCCAATCTACCGGGAAAAGTCATCTTCCTTGAAGAAAAAAAAAAAAGGCCTAGAACCCTGCTTGGGGACATAACTGCTTTGATCCAAATCCTGGCTCCACAACTAATTCTGTCAACATTTTAACATGTTGGCAAGATGGCAAGATCCTTAACATCTCTGGGCTTCCATTTCTCCTTTGTAAAATGGAAATGATTATATCTTTCTTCTGGAATGTTCTGAAAATTAAACAACAGAAACTGAAAGTGTTTAGGATTTTTCCTGGCACATATTGTGAATTATTGTTCTCCTTCAGAAAAAAAATTGAACCACCAGTCTTCCTCAGGAATGCTAATATTTTGGGCTCATTTTTACTTATTTCACATCACGCTCCAACAAAACACTAGGTCTGAACAGATGCATTCAGTTTTGTCAGCTGGCTTCTCTACCAAGACCAGGAAGGCCCACTGACAGAAAGAAGGAAAACATGCATCCCTAAATCTCACCACTTGCAAGTCTGTGTGCTCCCTGGGTGGGCCATCTCCACCAGTGTGGGGTTCATCTCCCAGATGGTAAGTAACAAAGGAATCTTCTTGAGTATCAACACTGGAAGATCTGTAACAACTGGAGATGCTGGTGTGTGGAGGAAGTAGCTTCAATTTGTGTATTACTTGTTTTCAGTTCTTTAGATTAGTTTGTTCTCCCACTTATTTTGGTGGTGTGAATAGACTATAAAACTGTCCACTGGAAAGAAATTACCACTAGATATCCAGTGTTTGGGCTTCATTATTTCACAGTTCCCATTCTTCAGAACCAATTATCAAATGTCTGTTATAGAGCTATGTGTCCAAATTATTAAATTAAACGTAAGATACAAAATTTTATTTTTAAAATTTATTTTAAAAATAAAAGAAGGAAAACATACTAAAAAAAGAAAAAAGACAAAAAATACAAAATTTTAAATTAACATAAAAATTCACTCTCATATTTAGCTAAGTTAATGAGCATTGGCTTATGCTTCTCGAAACAGTTTCTTATCCTTTTAATGCCTAATAAAAATATTCCAGACAAACAAAAATGTATCAGGAATATATAGTAAATGTTTCCAGAAGGCAACGGTCTTTAGGAATCCCACCTTTACGCTGAGGTCTCAAGTCCAACTCCACAGATAGGTTCCATATACACATACTTAATCCTCTGAGCATAAAGTTTGTCAAATGCCCTGAAGGAAACTAAAGATTTGGCAAAAGTTTCCAATTCTATTTTTTGTGAGTTTAAGTGAGCCGTATATTTTAAAGACCTATAAAGATTTCATTCAGCATATTAAATGCTTTAAGTGGGAATGTTTTTCAGAATATATATTGCTCTTTTTTTATTAAAATGTGCTCATTATTGTGTTAGAAATTTTACATTTTTGTTTGATACTGTGTACATATTTGTCTCTGTCCCTACTACTAAATACAAAAAGAGCATAGTGGGTATATATTAATAATTATATAAGAACACACATGTTTTCATGGTAGGAACTCATTTTTGTATTTGAATGCAATCTCAGTAGCTCTAAAATAATAACTAAGAGCAAATTAATCATTGTGTTGTTACTAAGCAAATGTGAATCCTAAACCAAACAATTCTATCCTAAGGGTCTTCTGTGATATTTCCACTATAAATTCCCTCATTCTAGTGTAAATTTGTCTTAAAAGATAAATATGTTTTAGAGACCAGAATACACATGTTGGCAAATTCATTTAGCCTTCTCTGTCACACGAAGTATACTGAGTTAATGTTTTCTTTCTTCCCTCCTCCCTTTTTTTACCCCTCTGTCTGTCTCTGTCTCTTTGTGTCTGTCTGTCTGTCTGTCTGCTGTCTCCCCAACCCCAAGAATTTCAGTACTTCTTCTAGCTTCTACCAAGGTAACAATTAGGCAATCAGCAAATGTTGCATCAGTGATTTTAGTTTCCTAGAATTTGGATGATGAGGTTTGGGATACTTATCATCATGTAGGATGTGTTGCCTTGATACGTCTCATTGATAAAGACGCTGACTTACACTTTTCTGAGTGTGCTCCTGGCTAACTAAAGGCTCTTTAAAGACTAATGAACTCTGCCAAAATCTCCTTCTAAGACCTGCACTCCAACTCTGACACCACTGGTCATTCCCTTCAGACTTGCCTTGGCTCCTTTGCATAGGAGGAGGAAACTGAGGTGCATAGGGATTTATTTTTCTGAGTCTAAGTAGTACATGATAAGACCAAACTGACTGCAGGACTCATGACACTTTACTATGCTGCACTGCACATGTAAAACACAATTTTGTGAGGTAAATGATTTGGAGATATTTAAGTGCTTAGGGTTACACAGACTTCTTGTGAGAACCCCGATTCATTTGCAGCCTTTCCTGGTATGTACTAACTATTAAATATACGTGTCACTACCACAACAATGGCATGCTTAAAACTGCACTACTTAGGTTTCTCAAGCATAAAATAACTATTGTGTATAGCTCCTGGATCTAGAGTTAAGAAGGGAACAATTAACTGAAAATACAAGCAAATTTAAGCCAGTGAGAATTTCTACAGTCAAACTAGAGTGGTATTTCTGACACTCAGTAAGGCCATAGTAATTTCAAGAAATGAAAATATTTATATAATTCTCTTCTATATAAAACAATGCTAAATCCTTATAGCATCCATTAACCTTATCATTTATCTTTGGACATTGATACAAGATTCTTCACCTCTACATAAATATACCAAATTGGAAGAAAACCATTAATTCAGGGCTGAGAAGATGGTCCAGCTGCACAGTCCCTGCCTGGCAAGCACAAGGTCCTGAGTTCGATTCCCGGTACCAAAAAACAAAGAAACAAACCATTAATTCAGACCCAGATACCTGGGCCATGAATATAGCTCAGAGGCACAGCAGTTGCCTAGCAAGCGTGAAGTCATGAGTTCGATTCCTGGTACAAAAAAAAAAAGAGAGAGTGAAACAGATGCCTTATAAAATTTGCATTATTGGATACAGACAGAAAATATCCCTCTCTAATATCTACTGAAAAAATTTCTTGGGCAAATAATAATATAAACACTGTTTAAACAAACGTTTTAATTCTCCAAAGTAACGTGCACTTTAAAATATTTTAAACTCTTCCAGAAATAATACCACATCTACAAAGAATTTCTACTGAAAAGTACATTCTATTGGCATGGGTCTATTTTCATCTCCTTTTTAAGTATTTTTAAGACTATTATCATCTCAGGTATATGTCACAGAAAAATTATATTCTTGATTTTTAGATGGATTTATTAAATTGTCAAAGAAATCAACAAATATTTATGGCTCTACGGTGTGTTTATCTCAATGACTACTTCCTATTTAGGAAACTCATAGTATTAAAATTCTGGAAAATCAGACAAAATATATTTGGTAGTTCTGAATAAGAATATTTTAATACATTCTCTTTACACATGAGACGTTTCAAATATCTCATATATATGTGTTTATAAAATTGAGCTAAATACAAAGAAACACCAGTATATTATCATAACATCTCTGTAATTTAAGATTTAAATTTTTCTGATGTTATTGTATGAGGTTTTCTGGTAGCCCAAACTTTTTGTTTGTTTGCTTATTTTTTTCCAGTACTGGGAATCAAACTCATGACCTTGCGCTTGCCAGGCAGGCACTGTGCGACTGAGCTAAATCCCCAGCCCTTGGTAACCCAAACTTAAACTTTCTCTATAGAAAAGGAAGCATTCTACATCATCAGTCATAGATATGCTCTGGTTTTTTAAAATATCCAGCAAGACTCAAATGGCATTTATTGAGGTAATAACATAGAGAGAGATTGAAATAGCTCGTACTGAGATACTAACATGAGATCTAAACAGCATCTTCCATTTTCTTATATGATCCCACAGCTTTGGCACATGAGTCAAGTTGGCAAATCAGTGTCTTTTGCTGGAAAGAATGTCCTTTCTTCTGTGACCATGAAGAAGCAGGAGTCTTTCCAGCAGCTGTGTCTCTGATTGCATAGATCTCCTGTCTTTAAGAGGTGAGCTCAGTCCTGACCTTTAGAAAGGAGTCAGAATATGTGAAGGAGAGACAGAGAGAGCAAGAGATGGAGAAGTAGAGTATGAGGAGAAATTAAGTCGGAGTGAGAAACAGGGAGCAGTAGGGCAGAAGGGAGGGAGAAATTGAGAGTTTATCAACATGACGTTTTTGCTTTTGCTCTTGTCCTGGTTGTTGCTTTCCAAAGTTTCATTTTTAAGACTACTTCTTTCTCATTCCAACCAGAATACTCAGGTAATAAGCAAGGCTAAGTGGTTGGGAGAAGCTGCAAGCAAGAAAGACAGGCCACAGAGCCTACTACCCACTGTATGGACACCATGAAGAAGCACCTTGGGAGGGCTGGCCTTGGAATCCCTCCCCCGACCTATGACTATTCCAGACACTCCACATCTCAGCTCCCTTCACTAGCCTAACATCCCAAGCATACTGTTAGAGACAACTAGTATAGGTGCCTCGTACAGAAAGCTGGTTCAGCTCTGTGGGCTAAAAGAAGGCTGGCAAACTTGAGAATTTCAGGGCAGTTGCCTAAGGAAAACAAATGGGAGGCTCCTAGTTCCGGTGCTGGATTTGTAGGATTTAGAGATGGTGTATAACCTTAGAACCTCTCACCATAGAAGGCAAGAAGTACAACCATGTCAGAGGTCTAAGAGAGCCGCAGAGTTCCATTAGGCAGACTAATGAAGGTGTTTGTCTCCTAACAACACTCAGCACAGACCAACAAAGATAACTGTTTCTCCAAAGGAGAAGAAATCTATGTAAGACTTTAAGGAACACAAAAAATGAAACATCTTGATGCCACCAAAGTGGATGGCTTCATTTCAGTAACCAACCCCAAAGAAATGGATATCTATGAAATGCTTGAAAAAGAATTTTTTAAAAAAATTTTAGGTTAGCTCAGCAAAATACAAGAGAGCACAGACAGTCAATTTAATAAAATCAGGAAAATAATGGATGAAGAAAATTAGAAGTTAAACAGAAAGATAGAGATGATAAAACAAATAATCCAATTCTGGAATGAAGAAATAGAATGAATGAAATTAAAAATGCAACAATGTCCACAGCAGACTTCATCAAGCAAAATAAATTTAGAGTCATGTCATTTGAAAATAGCCAGGGGAGGAAAAAGAATGCAAAGGAATGAATAAAGTATTTAGGATTTATGAGACGCCATCAAGACAGCTGATATTTGCATTATATGATTTCAGAAGGACAAGAGATAAAAAGGGACAGAAATTTTGTTTAAAGCAATAAGAAATAATTGCTGAGGCTGGGCATGGTAGCACATGCTTATAATTCCACCACTTCAGAGGCTAAGACAGGAGTATTCCCTGAGTTCAAACCCAGCCCAGTCTACATAGTTCAAGGCCAATATGGAATACACTGAGAGACGCTGTCTCAAAAAAAAATGAGGAGGTGGAGGAGGAGGAAGGAGAAGAGGAAGAGGGAGAGAAAGAGAGAGGCAGAAAGCTTCCCCAAACTGAGAAGAGATAAGGATTTCCAGATATATGGTGCTCAAATATGATTCAACCAAAAAAAGATTTTACCAAGGTAAATTATAATCCAGTTGTCAAAAAAATCAAAGACAAAAAGAATTGTGAAGGCAACAAAATATCCTCCCAAGAGAAACCCCTAAAGACTGTTGGCAGATGTCCTAGGAAAATTTCGTTGACAGAAGAGCAGAGGAAGATATAATCAAAGTTCTAAAAAAAAAAATGCCCACCAAGAATACTTTCCCTAATAAGTTCTTTAGAAATGAAAGAGATAAAGACTTTCCTGCACAAACAAAACCTGAGGGAGTTCATCACCATTACATTTACCTTACAAGAAAGATTAAAGAGATTTCTTCAAACTGAAATGAAATGATGGTAATTAGTAACATTACAACATATAAAAGTAAAACCCTCACTGGAAAAATAAGCATATAATCAAATTTTGAATACTCTAATATTGTAATAGTGCGGAATTTATTTAGAACTCCAATATAAAGGCTAAAAAGAAAGTGGAAAGATTAAATAGATTTATAATAATTTATTAATAGATATACAATATTAAAAGACATAAATTTTGAAATCAAAAATATAAAGTGGACAGTCTTGTATGTGACTGAAGATAAAGTTTAAAACTGATTGTTTAACTACAATTTTCTATGTAAGTCTCATGGGAACCACAAAACTAATAATAAATACACAAAAGATAAAGGAATCAAATCATACCACTACAGAAAATCATCAGATCACAAAAAACACAATAAGAGGGAAGCAAAAGATCTAGAAAACGATCACAGGGTAATTAACCAAATGGCAGGACTAAGACATCAATAATCATCTTAAGAGTCAATGGATTAAATTCTCCCACATACAAGTTGATCATCCCTAATCTGAAAACCCAAAATCCAAAAATCCAAAATTATCAGCATTTTGGCATCCAGATGGCAATGTCCAACCAGATATTCCAAAGCACCCCCACCCCGCCACCTTAACCCAAAAAAATCCCTCCAAAATCTGAAATACTTCTGGTTCAAGTATCTTGGATTAAAAGGTACTCAACCTGTAGAAACATTCTGGAATTTGCTATTTATTAAGAGTTCTTTGCATAAACAACCCTGGCATTCTGCACTTTGAAGAGTAAAGCTAGTGATTAAAATGCCAAGAAAAAATAACCCACTCTGAGGACACCATTTGGGAGAAATGTAATTCCTTGCTGCGTCCTTTACCTTTGTTTTGTAGCAATATAATCCAAGGTGTTTTGCCAAGATGAGTTCAGCCGCCAGACATTCAGCATGCTGGAGAAGGCCTGACATTCTCAAGAGGTAGACGAGGTAATGAAAATAAAAGAGCACCCAAAGCTTGGTGTTTTTCTGCATGCTTCTCTTACTATAGACACTTAAAAAAAAAAACAAAAATAAGAAGTAATTACTAAAAGCTATCAAAGCATGATATGCTGAGTCACTGAATTAAGTTTTTTTTTTTTTTAAATAGACCTGTTTATTTCTAGAGGGCTGTTGATTTTTAATAGAGATGTTACTATTTGAATCCAACCAGGGATTTTGCTGTTATTGTTGGACGCTTATGTACCCAAAGCTAACAATGCAGTTAGTTATATGTCAGTCGTAAGGAAACTGTAAGAAGGAGCACAGAGCATAAGGAAACACTGCATTTCATCAGAGCTCCTTAGCTGAAGACATTATGCTCTGTGGATACTGCAAGAGTTTAAACTTAGGAGCCCAACACAGATTTCATCACCCCCTCCCCTTAGTAGCTATGTGAGTTGGGTTGGTGACTTAATATTTCTGATCTCCAATTCCCTCATCTGGAAAATGAGGATGAAAATGCATGTCCTTGTATCATTGTTAGTTATTGTTAAGAGACAAAATGAGATCATGTCTGGGAGAATATTTCTAAATTATCAACTGCTTTTCTGACTGAAAAGAATGCACTCTTTCTCTGGAATTGTGCCAGAGGTCTTAAAACTCTAAGATACCTAAAAAGTGAAATCAGCCTGCTTCCTTGTCCTTGGAGACTCAGATTTTCTACAAGTAACTCATCAAATTTGCACTGTGCTGAAAATGAAATCTGATTTAAGGACTATCAGCATTTAGAACCCCTTTGGAGGCTACGGGTGTTTCCTGTCTCATAATGCCATGAACAAAATTCACTCCTGGAAATCACTTCAGTGTCTTTTTCATATCTCAAGTCTGCAACTTTCTTTTTCTTTTGATTTAGGTGTTGCTGTCTCCAACTCCCTGCTAATGAATTCTTTCCTCCTGGCCAAGTCACAGGCTTGGTAGTAACTACTGTATTTATTGCCATTTCTTCACAGGTGATATTCTGAGCCTTCTGAATGCAAGCATTTCCTTAAACAAAGTCACCCTACTCTAATAACATGACAGTGGGTGACACCAGAAAGACTGAATTCCACCAGAAAATCTGAATCATAAAAATGACATCAAAATTGACTTCAGAAAACATATTTTCTAATGCTTTACCAGAAAGCATTAGAAAATGTGCTTTTTGTAAAGCTTTTTATACAAAAAAAAATGCTTTTTGTAAAGTGAAATGTTTGGTAGAGCACCACATATAAGAAAGATTTAATAAAAATGCTATGGTTGAGGAGGAGTAGCTATAATGTCAGCATTTTTGTTTCTTTACAGATGCTAAGAACCATATGAAAAGTACTCTATGCAGTGCAAATACTCCCTCTGTGGTGCTTCAAATCCTTCTGCAATAACCACTAAGCAGACATTCAGCCTTTTAACATTTCCAGCGATGCCCATCCTCCCAAAGGAGGCCATATTATTTTTTGACAGCTTTAACTGTTTATTTAGTAAGTTCGTTCTTGCTGGACCTAGTGGCACACACCTGTAGCCCCAACTACTCAGGAGGTTAAGGTAGGAGGATTACAAGTTTGAGGCCTGCTCATACAACTTTAGTAAGACTGTCTCAGAATTTTAAAATAAGGCCTGGGGAATGTAGCTCAGTAGTAACCATTTATTTAGTATATGTAAGGTCCTGGGTTCTATTCCCTCCTCCAACAGAGAAACAAGAAAAAGTTCATTCTTCTATTTTGATGGTTTCCTTGTTAATTCTATTTGTTGTTACTAGAAAAGAGGTAGGCTGTACTCTATTAACTAGGTGAATCAACGATTATATTCCTCTGAAAATGTTTATTTTTAATAAACTGAACATCCTTGATTTTTCAACTTTCTCATGTGAGAATGTTTAGGCCTAGTATTTATTTGGGCTTGTCTCTGTTTGTTGGCATCAAATTTTATTAGTATGACCAGAACCATAAACACTAATTCCTATATCAACTATAACAATCAGATCTCTCATGTTGAACATTATACCTCTGTCATTGTGACCTACACTTGCACTTGATTTTGGGGAGACCCATGGATCTCAGTCAACTAAATCTCCAATATCATCCTTGAGTATGCTACTACATAAAGATTGTTCTTATGGTTTCCTTTGGTCATTTTCCTTTGCTGCAATTCATGAGGTCAGCCACATGGTTCTGTAAGAATATTTTCAGGTTCTTGTCTTTTATAAGACTTGGTTGTAGGATTTTGTAAATAAATGTCTGTGTACTTGTTCACTTTTTATTCTATCCATCACAGAAACCCTCTGCTTAATAATTTCCTGTAGATCTATATTGATATAAATTTTATTAGAGAAAAATTGGTGACTACTGAAGGTACAAACTATGTAATCACGACTACTCCGTTATATCTGACAGGAATAACTTTCTAACCACCGAGCTTTTGAGGTTGTGAGAGGGTTCATTAGGAGACTAAAAGCACAGAAAAGATGCTGAATTAATTTGGTTGCGCTCCAGTGGTTCTATGAGTCTGTAATTTCAGAAGGTTTTTTTCCTACTAAACAAATGAATTTTTAAGCTTTAGGAGATTAGTTTGAATTTTCATTCTTCTCTAAGAGTTTTCTCAACTTTGTGGGTTTCGGCTTTCCTTGAACATATTTTCATGTGGTTTTATAATATTTATTCAACATTATATTCCATTAGTTCTCTAATTTTAATTGTTGTTAACCATTCAGTGTGTAGCTACTACAAGCTGCAGAACTGATTTATCCACATTAAGGTCTGAGGAGACCATGACCCACTTTACTTGCTGCATGGTCAGCCTTGGTATTCATGGCAGGTTTTCTGAATATTTCTGATGAAGTCTTTAAGCACAGGTAATTCTGAAAACACATTACCATTCAGTAAGACTTATACAGGATGGTAAGCCCAACATGGCCAAAGGTTTCTTAAAAATTCCATAAACATTAAGCATATTTATGTCATAGCATTAAGTTTGGTCAATTTGAAACTTACTGTATTGTAGTATAAGAGGCATTTTGTTTGCTTCTGTTTACTTTCCCAGGAGTAAGTGCGTTTTGGTTAACCGCAATGGCAAACTTAGTCAAGACATTTATGTCAACAAATCCTCCTGCTTAACAAAGTCACATTCTTAGTTTCTAGGACAGCAGACTGGATTCTAAGTAATAAGGTGTTTATAAGGCGTGCTGTAAATCTGGGACTATAAACATGTCTAATTTTCTGTTAAACCTGCTGCTGTGCGTGAGGTACAATAAGCTCTCTCTTCAGTTTTATGGTGGCCAGTGTGCTGGCTTCTCAGTCTTGACCACTGTTGATTCTACTGTTCCCAAAGCCTCCTGCCAAGCTCTTGACCCAAGTCACGCTCTCTGGTGATGTCATAATGCTGCTTAGAAATTACTCATTCACTGTACCTGCAGGGATGCCCCAAGAGTTACATGCCTTGCCGGTTAGTCACACACTCTTTGGAGAAAAACGCCTTGAAAAAAGCATGGCCTCTCCTTCCCCTCATTTCAAAGGCAATATATTCTTAGGTCTTTCAGAATGTGCTTATAGATATAGTAAGAAAATCATTTCCTTTAAGGAAATTATTTTTAATATGACTTTTTCTCAAAAGTTAACAGTAGTAATTTTGTTGTTCTAACAAAAAACAAGATTTTCTCTTCATTCATAAATAAAAATTATTTTTATTCCCAGAAGATCTGAAAACATCATATCACAGCAATATATGTGCACCCATGTTCATAGGACAATTTGTAATTGCTAAATTGTGGAAGCAACCCAAATGTCCATCCACTGAGGATTGGATAAAAAAATTTTGTTTAATTCAACACATATTTATGAAACACTGTGCCTAGTATTTATTATCACCATACTTACTAATGGCAACCATCTGAATGAAAATAGGAAAAACTGGTCATAGATTTGGATTTTTTTTTTTTTTTTTTGTCTTTTTGAGGTAGGGTCTCACTCTGCAGTTCAGGCTGGCCTTGAGTTCACTTTGTGGCCCACGCTGACCTTAAACAAACAATGATCCTCCTGCCTCAGCCTCACAAGCACTGCGATTACAGGTGTGCACCACCATGCCCAGCTAGATTTGGATATTTAAATTACATGATATCAGATATATTTACTTGGAAAAATCTGATCAATTTTAAGTTCTTCACTTTTCACACAATTATTAGCTACTTATATACATTTACCTTGCACCTTGCCTTACTTTGCACTTTACTTTTTCAACCAAAGTACTTATAGATAATGTTCTAGAGAATAACATCAGTAACCAATTTGACTTAACATTTCAAGTACTTCACTCAGTGACAGTAGAATATACACTCTTCTAAAATGCATGTGGAACATTTCCCAACATTTACCAAAATAGACTGTATTCTAGGCCATAAAACACGTCTTGGTAATTTTAGAAAGATTAAAATCATAAAAAGTGTGCTTTGTGATCACATTGGAAATAAATTAAAAATTAGAAATCAGTATGCGAAAAAGATTTTAAAATTTTGTAATTTTGATAATCTAAATAACACTATTCTTTGAAAATAAGAAGCACTATTATGATTGTCATTAAAGTATCTATTTAGAGGAGAATTTACAACACTAAATGCCTCTAATAGAATACAAGAAAAGTCTCTATTAATCACCTCAGCCTCCATCTTTAGAAACTAGAAAAAGAAGAGCATACTAAAGTTAAACACAAAGGAAGAAAATAGTAAAGATTAGAGTAGAAACGAATTAAATGAGAAACAATAGATAATATCAGTGAATCCTAAGGCTGGATCTTTGAAAAGACCTGTAAAGGGGCTGGGGGTTTAGCTCAGCGGCAAAAGCGCCTGCCTGGCAAGCGCAACGTCGTGAGTT